AAAGGCAGGTATCTGTATAATAAATGATGCGCTGTGCAAAACATTATATTACAAATTCGTATTATAAGGGTACACAAGTACTAAAACTACATAATTTACCAGTAGCATGAAATTACCTAAAGTACCAAAAAATTAAAAAAAAACGTACTATTTGCATTGGTCCATCGGGAGGACCGAGAAAATAATAGTACACTTTCAGAAAATATAACTATAAGTAAGTTGTACTCGATTTAGTTGAATTGAAACATCAATGTGTCTGTTCAAAAGAAATACGGATTTTAGATTTTCTTAAAAAATATATAGGACCTATCACTATTTGAAATATTTCAAATTTATAGTAAATATTCAAATATAAAAAGTATATTGTGTAGCTTAATTAAAGTTTATTTATTTCAACTATACAAAAATTCCCCTAACGACGTAGCGGGCCTATGCTAGTAATATATATAACGTCAGGGTACCTTTTCAATTCTTGAATTTGTGGGCATAAGTTGTTAATTTGTGGCACTTTATAGAGGACATTTTGGGCGGTAAAAATATTTGGGTTTTACTGTATATAAAGTTCGGATAATACAAGAAAAATCATCAAGACAAAATTGCCTCATCTAGCCAACTCATCTGCTCAACTGCTTGTTACGGTTTACGGAGAGGTCGTTATATGAGTCGGATAAACAGATACGTATCATTAAAATTTATTTATCGAACATAGAGTTCGGAGATGGAGGCCAGCGTTTCTATTATCTCCCAAAAAAAGTTTTTATTTTTCAATGAAGAATCCGATATGAATTATTTAATTTAATTTTATTTGCTGTTATATTTACCTGAGATTATAAATCGAGAGGTCTTTCTACCAAGAGGTGCCAAAATCTTCCCACTAAAATATTAATATCGCTCCACGTTTAGGTATAGCCCCCATATAAACGAAACACACTATTTTAGCCGCATTCTCCCCTTGAAGTGTCTGTAATTTGAAATGTCTGTTTAGTGTAGAGACGCGACCCTACATAATCAAACGGTTTCAAGTCTGTCGCAGCTTTAATCGTGTATATATAAACAAAAAACAAAAAAATATTTGAAGAATTTCATTAAAAGTTATAATTTTGGATTTTAAAGAAAATAAATTTAAGGACTGTCGAGAAGTTGAAAGTGTCGATTTTTAAAAAATATTTTTTGAAGCACTTTCAGAAACAATGCCCTTTTAAATGTACTTATATGAAATTATTTGTACTATACCATTATTAATTCGCAATACATTTTGGAACTTTATATATCTTAAGATACGAAACCAAAGTTAATGTAATCGGTAAAACATATTGAACCGTTGCCAATTTTTTTCACAGTGTATAAAATGAGGTTATTGAAATAGTTACAGTTCAACTAATTGGCAATAATAGTATACATGTTTACCTTTCTTCTACAACCTAATTGAATGATTATCCAAATATTTCAGTTACATGTAACATTTATTTACATGCTGTTGTTGTTGTTATTTTTTTCTTGGCATCTCAAACGGTATGTTTATTTTTTCAACAGAGACCACCCACAACACAACATTGGGCATGTTGGGCATTGTTGAAATGGGTTCTTTTTATAAAATATTTGTGTAATAATTCGCATAGTTAATATTATCGATAGATGGATGGATGATTTATTTATTTATTAATTTCTGTCCACTCTTCATTTCTCATTTCGTTGTTGTATTTATTTGTTTGTCTATCTATCAGCCAAACATTTAATTTACCCCATCCCCCTAAAATTTTATATTTATGTTTTGTTTAGCTTTGGTCTGGCTCTCATTTGTCACCTTACAACGTTGAAAGCTAAGCATGTCGGGTGGCTCAATGGCTAGCTACCTAGCTAGCTGATGTCTGATGGCAAAGGTGCGCGCGAATGAAGTTGTTGTGTTGCCCTTAACGCAGACTCAGTTGTCTGTTGGTCTTCGCTGGGAACGCGGCGCTTTTTCTTTCGGGATTTTACGCTGTAATCAATCGTTATAGCGGTTTCTTCGAATTTCGTGTCGTTTTGGAATTTAAAATCGTATACGAAAAATATCCCACAAAGTTCGAAAATAAAAATATTGTCTTCAAAAAATGGTAAATGTGCAAAATTTTTCAAAAAAAGTTTAAAATAATTAAAAAAAATCAAAAAGAAAATAAATATGCAATAAAACAAAAAAATGAAACAGAAATAGAAAAATTTTTTAAAATTTGGAGTTTTATAAAATATTTTCCAATGACTATCAGAGCTATAAGTGTGAATTTTTAAAGATAACATTTTAAAGGATTATCGGAGTCATAGGCGTGGATTTTTAATAAATATTTTTGAATAACTATCGAAGCAATAAGCATGGGGTTTTAAATACATTTTAATGGCTATCAGGACAATAAGCGTGGATTAAAAAAATTTTAAATTTTATCAGCCCTATGCGTGAAATATGAAAACCATAAGTGAATAATTGCGAAGGGTCATCGGAGTTATAAGCGTGGATTAAAAAAAAAATTAAAGATCTTTCAAAGTCACAAAGAATATTTTTTGAAGTACTATCGGAGCATGGATTTTTAATGAATATTTTTGAAGGTTTAAATAATATATACTATCTTATGGTTCTGATAGTGCATAATATGGATTTTTAAAGATAATTTTCTGAAGGACTTTCCAAGCCCAGATCGTGGATTTTTCAAGAATATTTTACAAGAAATATCACAGTCATTTAGGTGTGGATTTTTAATAAAATTTTTCCTCAAGCACTATCGGAGCCATAAGTGTGGATTTTCAAAAAAAATATTTTTTGAGGAACCTTCGGAGCCCTAAGCGTGGATTCTTAAAGAATATTTTTGGAGAACCATTAGAGTCCAAAGCATAGTTTTTTTTAAAGAATATCTTCTCAAGGACTATCAGAGCCATAAGCGTGGATTTTTAAATAATATGGACTTTTACAGAATATTATGGGAAGGACGTTTTGAGTCCTAAGCGTTGAAATTTACCGAACATTTACTCAAGGACTATCAAAGCCATAGGCGCGGATTAAAAAAATATTTTTTGAAGGACTCCCAGAGCCCTAAGAATGGATTTTTGAAGGACTTCCAGAGCCATAAGGCGTGGATTTATAAAGAATATTTTTGAAGGACTTTCAGAGTCATAAGGCGTGGATTTATAAAGAATATTTTTGAAGGACTATCAGAGTCATAAGGCGTGGATTTATAAAGAATATTTTTGAAGGACTATCAGAGTCATAAGGCGTGGATTTATAAAGAATATTTTTGAAGGACTATCAGAGTCATAAGGCGCGGATTTATAAAGAATATTTTTGAAGGACTATCAGAGTCATAAGGCGTGGATTTATAAAGAATATTTTTGAAGGACTATCAGAGTCATAAGGCGTGGATTTATAAAGAATATTTTTGAAGGACTATCAGAGTCATAAGGCGTGGATTTATAAAGAATATTTTTGAAGGACTATCAGAGTCATAAGGCGTGAATTTATAAAGAATATTTTTGAAGGACTATCAGAGTCATAAGGCGTGGATTTATAAAGAATATTTTTGAAGGACTATCAGAGTCATAAGGCGTGGATTTTTAAAGAATGTTTTTGAAGGACCTGTAAGCCTACAGGCGTGGATTTTTAAAGAATATTTTCTGAAGGACCTGTAAGCCTACAGGCGTGGATTTTTAAAGAATGTTTTTGAAGGACTATCAGAGCCCTAAATGAGGATTTTTAAAAAATATTTTTGAAGGACTATCAGAGTCATAAGGCGTGGATTTTTAAAGAATATTTTGAAGGACTATCAGAGCCCTAAATGAGGATTTTTAAAAAATATTTTTGAAGGACTATCAGAGTCATAAGGCGTGGATTTTTAAAGAATATTTTTGAAGGACTTCAGAGCCATAAGGCGTGGATTTTTGAAGAATATTTTTGAAGGACTTCAGAGTCATAAGGCGTGGATTTTTAAAGAATATTTTTGAAGGACTATCAGAGTCATAAGGCGTGGATTAATAAAGAATATTTTTGAAGGTCCATCAGAGTCATAAGGCGTGGATTAATAAAGAATATTTTTGAAGGTCCATCAGAGTCATAAGGTGTGGATTTATAAAGTATGTTTTTGAAGGACTATCGTAGGATTATTAAAGCGTGGATTTGTAAAAAATATTTTTGAAGGACTATCGTAGGATTATTGAAACTTGGATTTGTAAAAAATATTTTCCAAGGATTGTCGGATCGTTGACTTAAAAAAAATATTTCCCAAGGATTATCAAAGCGTGATTTTAAAAAAGAACATTTTTCCAAGGTTTATCTAAGCGTGAATTTTTAAAAACGGTGATTTTTAAGAACTTGTGGACTTTTAAAAATAGTGTTTTGAAGGACTATAGTAGCCATAAGAATGGTTATTTAAGATAGTTGGGGCCATTTTAAAAGATAGTTGGGTTATTTTTTGGAGGAGTATCAGAGCAATAAAAAAAACAATTTTTTGTTGAAACACAATTGGAACTATAAGCGTGGATTTTTAGAGAATATTCTTGAAGGGCTACCGGAAATAAGGGTCTGGATTTATAAAGAATTTTTTGGAAAGCCATTATCGTGGAATTCTAAATGATATTTTTTACGAACAATCCGAGATGAAGGAATGGATTCTTAATGATTTTTTTTATGAGACTATCATAGCTAGAATGTAGGATTTATTTAAAGAATATTATTTGAGGTATATCACAGACCTAAGGGTGGATTTTTTTAAAATAATATTTTTTGAGGTATATCTCAGTCATAAACGTGGATTTTTTAAGGATTTTTAAAGGATAAGGAATATTTTAAAGGACGACGGAAGCTAAACCGTGGAATTTTTTATGTGATATTTTTATGGCTGTCACAACCATTACCAATAATTCTTTATATTGTTTTTATAACAACACATTTTTTATTTATTTCTTTGTAGATCTCCAGACTCCTCTTCATCTGCTTGACCCTGTGCCTCGGTCCTGCCTTGGCTGCCATACTCCCCGCAAAGATGGCCCTCATAGAAGATACAGATTTTTATCCCTCGACTCCTAATGATATTATACCCATACAACCGGCATTAATATATCCCACGTCGAGAGGTAGCTCACAAGGCAGAAATCTTTTCAAGGATAATGAAATAATTTATGTCAAATTATTAAATCGTCAAGGATATCGTCCAAGGAAGTTGAAACACATTGACGACGGCAATGAAGTCCAGATGAAAGATATCTTCTTTGTTAAGGCCCTTACTAATGGTCAATTTAGCACAGATCGCTTGAAAGTATATCGCCTACCCGAATTTTATGCAATAAATGTTTATAAAAAGGGTGAATTAATGGCAGACAGTAATTGAAGTTTTCAGTTTTATTTATAGTTAACAAGGATATTTATAAAATAAAATATAGATTTCTTATTATTTTTAATTTATTTTTAAAATTTAGATCGATATGTGATAATGTCAAAACATTAGGACATTTGTTAATTGTAAAATTACTAATTTAAGTATAAATAATAAACATTTAAATAAATATTGATAATAAAATCACGTGAGAATCTTTAAGGAATATTTTTTTTAAAGGAGGACAATGAAAGTAATACCGGAACTATAGGCGTGGATTTTTAAATAATATTTCTTTCAAGATATATCACCAACATAGGCGTGGATTTTTAAAGAAGATTTCTTCAACAAATATCACCAACATAGGCGTGGATTTTAAAAGAAGATTTCTTCAACAAATATCACCAACATAGGCGTGGATTTTTAAAGAAGATTTCTTCAACAAATATCACCAACATAGGCGTGGATTTTTAAAGAAGATTTCTTCAACAAATATCACCAACATAGGCTTGGATTTTTAAAGAAGATTTCTTCCAAGAAATATCACCAACATAGGCGTGGATTTCTTCCAAGATTTCTTCTAAGAAATATCACCAACATAGGCGTGGATTTCTTCCAAGAAATATCACCAACATAGGCGTGGATTTCTTCCAAGAAATATCACCAACATAGGCGTGGATTTCTTCCAAGAAATATCACCAACATAGGCGTGGATTTTTAAAGAAGATTTCCTCCAAGAAATATAACCAACATAGGCGTGGGTTATTAAAGAAGATTTCTTCCAAGAAATATCACCAACATAGGCGTGGGTTATTAAAGAAGATTTTTTTCAAGAAATATAACCAACATAGGCGTGGATTTTTAAAGAAGATTTCTTCAACAAATATCACCAACATAGACGTGGATTTTTAAAGACGATTTCTTCCAAGAAATATCTTCCAAGAAATATCACCAACATAGGCGTGGATTTCTTCCAAGAAATATCACCAACATAGGCGTGGATTTCTTCCAAGAAATATCACCAACATAGGCGTGAATTTCTTCCAAGAAATATCACCAACATAGGCGTGGGTTATTAAAGAAGATTTTTTTCAAGAAATATAACCAACATAGGCGTAGATTTTTAAAGAAGATTTCTTCAACAAATATCACCAACATAGACGTGGATTTTTAAAGACGATTTCTTCCAAGAAATATCTTCCAAGAAATATCACCAACATAGGCGTGGATTTCTTCTAAGAAATATCACCAACATAGGCGTGGATTTATTCAAGAAATAACATCTTAGGCGTGGATTTCTTAAATACATAGGCGTGAATTTCTTCCTAGAAATATCACAACAAAATAGGCGTGGGTTATTAATGAAGATTTCTTCCAAGAAATATAACCAACATAGGCGTGGATTTTTAAAGGAAATATTATTCAAGGAACATCGCCAACATAGGCGTGGATTTTTAAAGGGAATATTATTCAAGGAACATCGCCAACATAGGCGTGGATTTTTAAAGGGAATATTATTCAAGGAACATCGCCAACATAGGCGTGGATTTCATACAAGGAATATCACTACGAATTTTCAAGAAAATAATGCTTTCTAAGAATATCCCGGGGAATTAAAAAAAGTACTTTCTAGGAATATCCCCGTGAATTTTTAAAAAATAGTTATTTATAGGAATAACGCCGGTGATTTTCAAAGAAAAAAATTTAACCCATTAGCCGGGATTTTTATGGAATAATTTTCATGATTGATTTGATTAATTTAAATATAATACCAAAAAAATGAGACCAGAGCTGAATACAGAAGATGTAACAGGGGATTTTTTGTCTGCGAATCCAGACGTTTGCAATCAATCAAAATTATCGAAGTATTCCCCTAGTTTGTAAAAAATATTTCATTATAATCCGATACAGTAGCTTGTAGTAGTCAACATGACAAGACAGTAGCCAAAATTCTGTCTAATTCATAATGTTACGACAATTCATTATGGCTGGTGGTGGTTGGTATCGATGACAAAATTAATTGTCATGATTGTTTTCTTTTCTCTTTTTGACCAGGTCGTCTAAGAAGATTTAGATCGATGGTCTCATTGGTATTCGCTATGAATTTTGACAAAAAAAAACTGGCAATCACATGCTCATATTTTAATGGTGTATTAATAGCTTCGTGTATTTTGAAGCTGTGTGTTTGTGAAGTACACGGATTCATGTCTTATAAAAATGTATTCGCAAGAATTTTGAGAATAATAATAAAAACACTTTTTTAATTAACCAATAAAAATGTTGTATTTATTGTGGCTTATATCAGGTGTTTGTAGAATTTTACTTCCTGTTAGATATTAGAAAAAAATAGTTTATAAAATATTTTTTGAAAAACAAAATATACAAAAATATACAATGTGGCAAAATATAATGCTAAGCTAGTTTTATCAAAATTATATGCCTCATATTCAAAAGTGAATATTTACCTAAATGTATTTTAGTTTGCCCCATGAACTCTTATTTAACCACTATGAACCAATTTTGTATTGCATTTCAAAATTTAAAATTTCTTTGAAAATCATTTGTAAATATTCATCCATTTTACATAATTTTAAAAACCTCAATTTGTTTATTAAGTGAGAAAAATTAATTATAATAAATTCATTGAAATTATTATTATTAATTAATAATTATGAAATGAACAATATTGATGAATGTTGTTTGTACACAAATACAATAAAAAAAGTCAACGCATTGTCACCGGTGTGGCTATTAGTCGATTATTAAAATGCTAATCACATTCACCAATTAATATTTATGACATATTAAAAACAAAGAGAAAGAAATATTTTATAAATCAATTTTATTTGTTACACACAAAAAAAATACCCTCGGGAAATGGAAAACAAAACCGTAATAAATTAAAAAAATGGGGCTGCTGATACTAAAAATTGGGGCCACTATAACAAAACATAGAGCACGCCTATGTTGGTGATATTCCTTAAAAATCCACGCCTATGTTGGTGATATTCCTTGAATAATATTTCCTTTAAAAATCCACGCCTATGTTGGTGATATTCCTTGAATAATATTTCCTTTAAAAATCCACGCCTATGTTGGTGATATTCCTTGAATAATATTTCCTTTAAAAATCCACGCCTATGTTGGTGATATTCCTTGAATAATATTTCCTTTAAAAATCCACGCCTATGTTGGTGATAATAATATTTCCTTTAAAAATCCACGCCTATGTTGGTGATATTCCTTGAATAATATTTCCTTTAAAAATCCACGCCTATGTTGGTGATATTCCTTGAATAATATTTCCTTTAAAAATCCACGCCTATGTTGGTGATATTCCTTGAATAATATTTCCTTTAAAAATCCACGCCTATGTTGGTGATATTCCTTGAATAATATTTCCTTTAAAAATCCACGCCTATGTTGGTGATATTCCTTGAATAATATTTCCTTTAAAAATCCACGCCTATGTTGGTGATATTCCTTGAATAATATTTCCTTTAAAAATCCACGCCTATGTTGGTGATATTCCTTGAATAATATTTCCTTTAAAAATCCACGCCTATGTTGGTGATATTCCTTGAATAAATAATATTTCCTTTAAAAATCCACGCCTATGTTGGTGATATTCCTTGAATAATATTTCCTTTAAAAATCCACGCCTATGTTGGTGATATTCCTTGAATAATATTTCCTTTAAAAATCCACGCCTATGTTGGTGATATTCCTTGAATAATATTTCCTTTAAAAATCCACGCCTATGTTGGTGATATTCCTTGAATAATATTTCCTTTAAAAATCCACGCCTATGTTGGTGATATTCCTTGAATAATATTTCCTTTAAAAATCCACGCCTATGTTGGTGATATTCCTTGAATAATATTTCCTTTAAAAATCCACGCCTATGTTGGTGATATTCCTTGAATAATATTTCCTTTAAAAATCCACGCCTATGTTGGTGATATTCCTTGAATAATATTTCCTTTAAAAATCCACGCCTATGTTGGTGATATTCCTTGAATAATATTTCCTTTAAAAATCCACGCCTATGTTGGTGATATTCCTTGAATAATATTTCCTTTAAAAATCCACGCCTATGTTGGTGATATTTGTTGTAAGAAATATTCTATAAAAATTTAATCAAAACCCTATAATTTACCCTTTTTAATTATTCTATTTAATTTCCCTGTTATACAGATATTTATTCTCAACAGCTGATGAGATACCTACGACACATCATTCACTAACTGCACACAATAAATGTTTACAATCTGGCAAGAGAGTTTGACAGTTCATAGCCAATAGTCGACCTAGGAATCCCTGCACACAACTCGCCGCCACCGATAGAAGCTGGTGGTTTTTGCGTGTTGCTTCTCTTGTGAAATTTTTTTCGAAAATATTTCTAAAAAATTAGTGGAAAAATACACAAAATATTGTGATTTATTTGGTCTACAAAGGATTCCAAACAAAAATCCTTCAAGATGATGTACGACAACGATGACCGTAAGTAAAATGAAATCCTATTTTTTGCCTTTTAAATTTGCATGATAAAACATGGCGACGATGGCAAAGACGACGGAGCGCTAATTTTGTGGAGCCCCATTTAAAATACAAAAACAACAATATTACATTTTACTAATATTTTTCCCTAATGTTTCTATATTAGAAATGTATGAGGAGGAGAATGCCGAGGAAATTTCTCATGAATTGTGGCAGGAAGCTTGTTGGATTGTCATCAACGCCTATTTCGATGAGAAAGGTCTTGTGCGTCAGCAATTGGACAGTTTCGATGAATTTATTCAGATGTCCGTACAACGCATTGTCGAAGACTCCCCGGCTATTGATTTGCAAGCAGAAGCCCAGCATACCTCGGGAGAAATTGAGACACCGGTAAGGGGAATAACTTCTTAATATTTTAATTTGAAAAAAATTTTACATAAAATTCTCCCCTTGCAGCCACGTTTCCTTTTGAAATTCGAACAAATTTACTTATCGAAACCAACACATTGGGAAAAAGATGGTTCACCCAGTCCTATGATGCCTAATGAAGCACGTTTGCGTAACTTGACATATTCCGCACCTCTCTACGTTGATATTACTAAATCGAAAATTGTTGAGGGTCAAGCCCCCGTCGAGACACAACATCAAAAGACCTTCATTGGCAAAATTCCCATTATGTTGCGTTCCACATACTGTTTGCTATCACAATTAACAGATCGTGATTTAACAGAATTAAATGAATGTCCATTGGATCCTGGCGGCTACTTCATTATCAACGGTTCCGAAAAGGTCCTTATTGCCCAGGAGAAAATGGCAACCAACACTGTGTATGTTTTCAGCATGAAAGATGGCAAATATGCCTATAAGGCTGAAATTCGTTCATGTTTGGAACACAGTTCACGTCCCACATCCACTTTGTGGGTTAACATGATGGCCAGAGGTTCACAGAATATCAAAAAGTCAGCTATTGGTCAACGTATTATTGCCATTTTGCCATATATTAAACAAGAAATTCCAATTATGATTGTTTTCCGTGCATTGGGTTTTGTGGCTGATCGTGATATTTTGGAACACATTATTTATGATTTTGATGATCCCGAAATGATGGAAATGGTAAAACCTTCATTGGATGAGGCTTTCGTAGTGCAAGAACAAAATGTTGCATTGAATTTCATTGGTACCAGAGGTGCACGTCCTGGTGTGACCAAGGATAAACGTATCAAATACGCCAAGGAAATTTTACAAAAGGAAATGTTGCCACATGTGGGTGTTTCAGACTTCTGTGAAACAAAGAAGGCCTACTTTTTGGGTTATATGGTACATCGTCTGCTACTGGCCTCTTTGGGTCGTCGTGAATTGGACGATCGTGATCACTACGGTAAGTATTAATATCTAAAAAAATATTTATGTTTTACTAACATCGCCTTTTTTATTTGTAGGTAACAAACGTTTGGATTTGGCTGGTCCCCTTATGGCCTTCCTGTTCCGTGGTCTATTCAAAAATCTGTTGAAAGAAGTTCGCATGTACACACAGAAGTTTATTGATCGTGGAAAGGACTTCAATTTGGAATTGGCCATTAAGACAAATATCATCACTGACGGTTTACGTTACTCCTTGGCCACAGGTAATTGGGGTGATCAAAAGAAGGCCCATCAGGCTCGTGCTGGTGTATCTCAGGTATTGAACCGTTTGACTTTCGCCTCAACATTGTCACATTTACGTCGTGTCAATTCGCCCATTGGTCGTGATGGTAAATTGGCCAAACCTCGTCAATTGCACAACACATTGTGGGGTATGTTATGCCCTGCCGAAACACCTGAGGGAGCTGCTGTCGGTCTTGTAAAGAATTTGGCGCTTATGGCCTACATTTCTGTAGGATCCCAACCCTCACCAATTTTGGAGTTCTTGGAAGAATGGTCCATGGAAAATCTTGAAGAAATTGCCCCCTCAGCCATTGCGGATGCTACCAAAATCTTTGTCAATGGTTGTTGGGTGGGTATACATCGTGACCCCGAACAGTTGATGGCCACTTTACGTAAACTGCGCAGACAAATGGATATTATTGTCTCAGAGGTGTCGATGATTCGTGATATCCGTGATCGTGAAATTCGTATTTACACTGATGCCGGTCGTATTTGTCGCCCATTGTTGATTGTCGAAAACGGAGCACTGCTCTTGAAAAAGACCCACGTTGAAATGTTAAAGGAACGTGATTACAATAACTACAGCTGGCAAGTGTTGGTGGCCTCTGGTGTAGTGGAATATATTGACACCCTGGAAGAGGAAACTGTTATGATTGCCATGTCTCCATACGATTTGAAACAAAACAAAGATTATGCCTATTGTACCACCTATACACATTGTGAAATTCATCCAGCTATGATATTGGGTGTGTGCGCATCTATTATACCCTTCCCTGATCACAACCAGTCTCCCCGTAACACCTATCAAAGTGCTATGGGTAAACAAGCTATGGGTGTTTACATTACCAACTTCCACGTTCGGATGGACACACTGGCCCATGTACTGTACTATCCGATGAAACCTTTGGTTACCACCCGTTCCATGGAATATTTGCGGTTCAGAGAACTGCCAGCCGGCATCAATTCCATTGTAGCCATTCTCTGTTATACCGGTTACAACCAGGAAGATTCTGTCATTTTGAATGCCTCGGCTGTCGAAAGAGGATATTTCCGCTCTGTGTTTTACCGTTCTTACAAAGATTCGGAAAACAAACGTATCGGTGATCAAGAAGAAAACTTTGAGAAGCCCAACCGACAAACCTGCCAGGGTATGCGTAATGCCCATTATGACAAATTGGATGATGATGGTATTATTGCCCCAGGCATTCGTGTATCCGGTGATGATGTCGTCATTGGCAAAACTATGACTTTACCCGAAAATGATGATGAACTCGATAGCACAACAAAACGTTTCACCAAACGAGATGCTTCGACCTTTTTGCGTAATTCTGAAACTGGTATTGTGGATCAAGTCATGTTGACGTTGAACAGCGAAGGCTACAAGTTTTGTAAGATTCGTGTCAGATCGGTGCGTATTCCCCAGATTGGCGATAAGTTCGCCTCACGTCACGGTCAAAAGGGTACCTGTGGTATTCAGTATCGTCAAGAGGATATGCCCTTCACATGCGAAGGTTTGGCTCCCGACATTATTATTAACCCTCACGCCATTCCATCTCGTATGACAATTGGCCATTTAATTGAGTGTTTACAAGGTAAATTGGGTTCGAATAAGGGCGAAATTGGTGATGCTACACCCTTCAACGATGCTGTCAACGTACAAAAGATTTCCACCTTCCTGCAGGAGTACGGCTATCATTTGCGTGGCAATGAGGTTATGTACAACGGTCATACAGGTCGTAAAATTAACGCTCAAGTCTTTTTGGGTCCCACTTACTATCAACGTCTTAAGCACATGGTGGACGATAAAATTCACTCTCGAGCCAGAGGTCCAGTACAGATTTTGGTGCGACAACCTATGGAAGGCAGAGCTCGTGATGGTGGTCTACGTTTCGGTGAGATGGAACGTGATTGTCAGATATCTCACGGTGCTGCACAATTTTTGCGAGAACGTCTATTCGAAGTCTCCGATCCATATCGTATTCATGTGTGCAATTTCTGCGGGCTAATTGCCATTGCTAATTTGCGTAATAACACCTTTGAATGTAAGGGTTGCAAGAATAAAACACAAATCTCGCAAGTTCGTTTGCCGTATGCAGCTAAGTTATTGTTCCAAGAACTAATGTCTATGAATATTGCACCACGTTTGATGGTAGTTTAAGAGGGAGAAAAGCGACGATGAGAGTAATACATAAATTTGAAAAATGATTTAGTGTTGAATGGTTGGTTAATTGACATACATACATAATTTTTAGCATATTAATATCAAATATCAATCAATAAAATAATTTATATAAGTAACAATGATGATGACTTTGTATTTCATAATTTATGACTATGTTAATAAAATGATTTTTTTAAATAAAAGTTTTTGATTTTTTTATAAATCCCAAAACAAGATGATCTTAACATTACTTATCAGAAGAAAACATTCTGAGAAAAATGTTTAATAAAAAAGAAATAAAAACAAGTAAAAAAGTGTCAGTCCGTGGTATGCGGAGGATGTATTCGAAGTTATACACAGGTTTTATTATTCATTTTATATAAGGCATATGTTTAATTATAGATGTTTCGGATTTTATTCAAATGGGAATTCCACTCGCCTAATATTGGATTCATAAATATTGAAAATGTTGACCATTTGTGTGGGAGGTGCCAGAAGCAGTGAATCAATGGGTCCCATGTTCGAACTTGAGACCTAGTTTTGGTAAAGGTAATAGGTCGTGGGGGAGGTACCAGAAGGAGTAGGCCAATGTGTCCCATCTTCATATGTGATCTAGGTTTGGAACATTTCAAACGGCTCATATTGAATTTATAAATATTGAAAGTTTTGACTATTCATGGGGGAGGTAACATAAGGAGTGGGAGAATGGGTCCCATCTTCGTATTTTATTCAGGTTCGGTAAAGATAATAAAAGTTTGGTTAAAATCGGATTGGCTATAAAATTAATTTTTAGCATAATTTTGATCATTTTGTGGGGCAGGTACCAGAAGGAGTGGACCAATGGGTTCCATCTTCAAATGTGATCTAGGCTTGGTAAAGGTAATAGGTCGTGCACAGTTTGGTTCAAATCGAACCTTCCAATCGCCCCATATTGAATTTATACATATTGAATGTTTTGATTATTCGTGGGGGGAGGTACCACAAGGAGTGGACCAATGGGTCCCATCTTCGGACTTGATCTAGGCTTGTTAAAGATAATAGGTTGTAAAAAGTTTGGTTAAAATCGTATTAGCTATAAAATGGTAAAATACGTTTATAGCAGCAATTTTAACATTTTGTGGGGGAGGTACTAGATGTACCAGGTCGATATTTCCGATCTTCGTACTGGATCTAAGTTTGGTGAAAATATTACGATGTGCAAAGTTTTAATGAAATCGGTTACTTCCTTCGAGACCAGCCAGACAAAGTTTACTACAAATCGGATCGTCGGGTAGTTCACTAGATATTATAAAATCAAATTAAAATCAGCCAAATTTTGACGATATTGTGGGGGAGGTACGATGTGCACATTTTAAATGAAATTGGTTACTCGTTTCGAGAGTTATTGTGCGCACCAGTCGGCCAAATAAACATGGGTTCTAAAACGAATATTTCCATGAATCACATTTGATGAAACGAGGGAATTATTAGGGACCGGTCGCAGATCGTATCTTTACAAACAACAATGTCTTAATTTGGCTTAAGTCTAGTTTAGGGCCCCCTCGAGGATCGTTTTACAATTTTACAACATGTAGTCCTTGGGGTCCTGATTACAACGGTATACTATCATCCCAACGGAACTTTGGAGGCCCATATCTCCGGAAATACCGATTTCCGCAAGAAAAAAGGATACCATAGTAATCAGGGCTCCAAGGTCTACATGTGGTAAAAGTTTCAAAACGATTTGTGAGGGGCCCCTGAACTAGACTTTTTCCCTATATTCGCAGACACTTATTTTACACAGATATGAGAACCTACCTTTCCCACGATTTAAAATCAATCGAGCTTTTATTTGTCTAAAAATGTTATGAGAATTACTACAACAACAGTAAATGTAGAGTATTCAAACAACAATGTGTAAATTTACCACCACTTACCTCTCTATATTCTCTTTGGAAGGTAGTCCATACAGATCTATTTTCCGAACCTCCAAACTTCTTCATATTGTCACTTCGGCAGATCTTACAACAAAAGATCACAATTGTTCTAGGGCTTGGTAAACTAACGGTTTCTACTGCCACTGACGCATGCACTAGTTTGCATTTTATCATATTACACATACACTACTTTCAACTTCGCCGAATTTATTGCACATGAACTACAAAACTTCACCAATTTCTTTATATTTTTTTCCTTTCACTTTTCACATTTTCTTTTTTTTTATATTTTCACTAGAATTTTGGTGATTAGTTTCCAAAATATATAAATAAAAACGACACCGAACTATAAAAGCGACACGAAGTGAATGCTGATTTGTGCGCCTTCCAACATTCACAATATATACAACATAAACTACTATTGTGAATGAGTAAAGCCGTTTCTGTTAGTTTCTCTCATGCTATAATTTTCTTTTTCTTCCATTCAAATTGAGTCAACAATGGATATGTTTAAATTGAATAATTTAATTATTCTAATTGTTTTAAAAAATGAGCTCTACTTATTAAAAAAAAACAATTTTTTATAAATCAAAAAAAAATATGCCCGGCACTTAGTTAACAGAACTAAAAAGGAAACATTTTCCCCCAAACTAGTTCATTTGTTCCCTTTCATTGAATGGTTCAATTGAACTAGACCTTACGTTAGTTATTTCACCCAACTTAATAAACATGTTTAGGAAAACCGTATCCCTGTTCCAAAGGAATCGTAATAAAGTACTGCTACTTAGTCTGCTACCGCTACACTCCGATCCCGATGATGAAGTCTCGAAAGAAACAAAAACCTACAAATCATTTGTACAGAGGCCGCCTACAAATGAAACCGGTTGGGATCGTGTGAAGGAAGTCTTTAAAGTGGAGTAAGTCCCGCACATGATTTATGAATGAAAATCTAAACAACTGTTTCTATTTTCAGTGAATTTGGTTCCATATCACCCGAATTGAATTCCATTTATCAGGCTGGTTTCTTGGGTTTTTTGGTTGGTGGCATCTATGGCGGTATTATACAATCAAGAACGGCATATATGGACTTTATGGAAAATAATCAAGCCACAGCATTTCAGTCACATTTGGATGCTAAGGTAGGTGGTGGGATGGAGTTATTTTGAAGTGGATTTAAAACCTATTAAATGATTGTGTTATTATAGAGAAAACTGCAGGACAAGTTTACGATGAGTTTTGCCAGAGGAGGCCTTAGATGGGGCTGGCGTGTGGCGCTGTTTACCACTTCCTACTAGTAAGTTAAATACAAACAGTTTGTCAACTAAATATTTTCAATAACTAAAATATCGAAGATTTCGGGAATAATGTTAAAACTAAGTTTTTATTGAAATTCGATGCTTCCTTCGCACACTTTTTACTATGATAAGAAAATTATTTAAAAATAAATAAAATAAATTTACCTTTATGATATCGATTCAAGTAGTAAAAACTAGTAGATTCTTGCAATACGGTAATAGACCAATTGTTTGTCTTATTCTTTCTAGTTATAATTCGTTCTAAATTTTTTGCAATTCCTAAGTATTTTTATTTTCTTTTGAAATGATTTTATTATAACAAGTATATTTTTTCTAAATTACGATATTATTTTCTTTATAGTGGCATGGTCACCTTAGTCTCAGTGTACCGAGAAAAATCTTCAATTTATGAATACTTGGCTGCTGGCACCCTTTCCGGAGCCATATACAAAATGAACATGGGCTTAAGGGGTATGGCAGCTGGTGGCATTATTGGTGGTGTTTTAGGAGGTTTGGCTGGTGGAGCATCTCTCTTAATTATGTCTTTATCTGGAACTACAATGCAAGAGGTTCGCTATTGGCAATACAAATGGAGAACGGATCGTGATCAGGCTATTGCTGAAACCTATAAAGTAAACATGTAACTTTTATTCTTAATATAAATATATTAAAAAATATATAATTGTTATTATAGTTGGCTGCTGAAGAAGATTCTCCGACACCAGAAATTATGAAAGCCCACGATGCTAAAGTCGGTGAAAAAATCACTTTGGAACATATTAAGGTAATTAATATAAAATGTTTATTTTTTATATTGTAACATAATATTTTTTTCTATATAAAGTTGGAATCTGAACAAAATGAAACAAAAACAGAAACAAAACCTGAGACAAAGCCTGAAACAAAACTAGAAGCAAATGCAACAACTCCTATTCACACAAAAGTGGCGGAACAGATCACATCAAAAAAGTAGATAAAGTATAATGTTGTTTTTTATAGTTAGTTTCATTTTTTGTTTGTAAATAAATATGTTGATAAAAATACCTATCAGAGGTATTAAAATACATAAATTTCAATTTTTGTAATATGAGAAATAATATTGAATTGGGGTTTCTAGAAAGAAAGAAATTTATTAGAACTGTCGGTTTATGAAAAAAATAAATATCACATAAAAGTGTTTCGGAGTCACCAAACAACACATGTTACTTGCCTAATGGGTCGAACATTGGGCAAGTATCATGCGTTGAAGAAATTGAGAATGAGTCTGCCAAAGTGGGTCTGACAGTAAGGGGGAGAAGGCCAAGCTGCTGGTATCAACGCGCAAGACGTCCTGTAGACTCGGACCAACTGTGGTACTTGAAACCAAAAATGCAAATTGTACCAAATCTTGTAGCATTTAGTACCCATATGTTGTGTGACAACCACCTTCTGGTTGTGTATGAATACCTTAGGCCATACTTCATACTTTGTTTCATAAATCCAAGCAAAGGTATTTTGTGGGACATCACACAAAATATGTTATTTATTATATATGAATAGTTTTTCATATTCATATTTCACCCATCACTACATCCATGTGTAACCACACATGGATACCGCCAACACCAACATCGCATCCCGAAGAAGAGGATATTTTTTGTTTTTTTCAGTCATTTGACTGCCTCATATTTTCCTCATCATGTCTTTCAATCCTGAAAGAAAAAAAAGAAAACATTTATCCAATTTGTTATTAATTATTTTGATAAGCACTTACCCTTTTTCCATCATTCATTGTGAATGAACATATACCACC